CTCTGCATGCACAGCCTGGGGTGGGGAGGACTTAACAGCTCCCAAAGCACCCCTCAGCCAATAGAGGACAGAGGAGTTAAATAAACACATCCCTCACCACCACCTTCAGTTCCTCTTAGCAGCAATTCCACATGGCTCCCTCAATCAGGTGCACTTCTACTGGTTTCCTGCCTTATCTGTTCCGCTCTCCCCACCTTGCCCTCCGGCCCCCCAGGATGCCTCTGCAAATGATCACCACACCAAGCCCTTGTCTCACGCTCTGCTTCCAGGGGAGCCGGGGCTCAGACAGGCTGCAAATGTCCTGCTGAGGAATTTGAACTTGGTTCTCTAGACACAGCAAGTCAGAATGTTTCCAAGGTGAAAACAATAATAGCAAGAACAATACTCTGATGCGTAAACAGTCACCAAGGGGCACCAGCCACGAGGTGCCATCGTGCGCCTTGTTGGGGGAACCACTCAGTCTGAGCTGAACGCACTGCTGAGGCACCCCTCCTGCTCCAAGACAATGGAGATAAGGAATGTCGTGAATAGGCAAAGGTCTCCAGCAGGACACCAGGTTCATATCGTGGAAACAATGAAGTAAAAAGGATCACCATGGATATAAAGAAAATAATGATTTAAAACAACGGCAACAACGTGGTGGGTTGGGGAAAGGTCATTTCTCCCTGAAACAGTTCATCTGTAAAGGAGGATGTCCCAGCCGGGCTCCAAGCCCTTCCGTCCAGAAAAGGTCACGCCCCTGGTTTTACAGTGAGGCAAGTAGAAACCGGAGAGGCTTCCGTGCTGCCACAGGAAAGCAAGGGGACTCTGGGCGGCTTGAGAAAGGAGAGGTGGGTGGGGTGGGGTGGAGGGGCATGGAAATTGGGGGAGGGTTGGGGAGGGCCCCAGGGGAACACAGCTGAGGGGTCTATGAGTGGAGGGGGGCAATACCAGGGAGGAAACAGCCAACTCATTTCCAGGGGCAGTCACATTACACTCTTTATTTGGCGATTTGGGTCCTACGCTATAATTATCTTCTTCTAGCTCCCAACCTTTAGTAAAAGGCTGCTAGACACAGACTCTTTGTTAACAATCCAAGGGAGAAATGAAAGAAGGCAGCTATCAGGCTGGGGAAGGGGGCCAGCGAGAAGGAATGAGGAAAACACCGTGGGTCCACGGGGCTGGAACTGCACCCTGTGTGTATGTGTGCGCAGAGATGTTTTATTCAGGGCTTGCTTTACCATATGTGAACTTAAGACATAATGCATTGTTTGCTCTTACTTAATTTTGGAATAGGACACTGCACTTATTATGGTTCAAAATTCAGTGGGGACAGAAGAGTCTCCTTCCCACACTTACCCCTCAGACACCCCCTTCCCCACCCACAGGCAACCAACGATACTAGCTCTTACATCCTTCGATGGACAGTTTATGATTTTGCAAAAAAAAAAAAAAAAGTATGTAAAATCTTTTTTTCACCCTGGTTTACACAAATGAAACCATACTACACACCCTCTATTGCAAGTTGCTTTTGCACATAATAACTCTGGTCATCTTTCCACATCAGCCCGCATGAGTTTCCTCATTCTTTTCTGTGGTTACATCCTACTCCTTTATCTGGCAGTACCATAATTCACCTAAGCAGTCCCCAGCTGATGGGCATGTAGGCTGTTTTCTAACTTTTGCTATTATAAATAATAGTAAAATGAATAAATAGGTAAGATATATTCTTAAATGTGCTTTTATTATATCAAGGGTGCACATGATTTTTCTCCAGCAAAGCAGAAATGCAATTTAATACAGCAAACCAGATTTCTTTAATAAAAATGTGCTGTTGACAACATTGCCGTCACATATTTTGATTCAGTCGGGTGTCCTTTACAAGACAAAATGTAGTTATTATAGCTAGTAACAGCAGCGTATTTTCAAAAACAGAGCACGTAAACATGGAGTGGTGTTTAGCACCAGTTGATGTCGGATGGACAGAAGCAAGGGTGCTTGCTTAAAGTAATAAGGCAGTAAGACAAGAGTGAGGCTCAGCCGTTCCGTAGATTTAAGCTCTGAACTTGGAGTAAGGAAGCCCGGATTTGATTCCTCACCCTGTCACTGTGCCTTTTTTCAATAAAATGGGGATAATGATTCCTGCCCTGTGAACCTTGCAAAGTTGTTCTGAGCACAAAATGGGAAATTATGCCACATATGTGAAACCTGTTTATGAACTACGAATGTCTGAACCAATGTTAAATCCTGCCATTCTTATATTGCTTTCAGAGCCATGTTGGGAGGTCAGTAGACAATCCATCTACAGAATAAATTCTGAAGTAAATTTCATGAAAGAAAATACACTGGGGATGACCATTTGAACAACACGCACCACAGGGTGGCCCTTATATATCGTCGTGTTTAAAACCAATTATATAAAAACTCAGAAAGGCAAGAGATTGTTATTGGCCAGCCACCACAGCTTGTGTTTGCATCCTCCCCATCTCTCCAACTCATCTACAGTTATTAAAATCAAGTTCACTACTAACCACCGTGACAGGAAACCACTCAAGTCCAGTGGGGTAGGTGAAAACGTTGCCAATTAACACTGTTAATATTCTCGGATTTACAGGTAATCTAGTCTCTCTGGATTCATCTGGAAATGATCAATAAAATAAATGGGCAAACAGAGTTAAAGTACTCTGGAAAATGAAACGCTGGGCTGTTTGGATTTGAGAACTATTAGGAAACCTACCCATGTCACTCATTAAAACCTTCAAGATGCGCCATTACCGAAGCAGACAGGTACCCCAGGCACTTCTCAGTCACTCCATTCAAGTGTCTGCCACCTCTTTTCTAGTCACTGCCTCCATGGCAACAGTCCACTGACCTGCCCTTAAGGGAAATAGAATTTCTGGCAAGACGGAGACTTTTAATAATTCTACCTGTCAATATAGGTCAGAGAGAAATGGATGTATTTGTACCAACTTACTTAACAAACCACTAATAAAATGAGTGACCCCCAGCAAATGACCAGACCCAGTGTTCAGATCATCCCCCAGGAAAGCCAAACATGGCATCATTAGTGTCCCAGAAAATCCGCACCGCCGACACCTGTCCATCAAACCCTTCACTGAGTATGGATTTCTTCCTTCAGCATTTTCTTTACCTTTTCCTAAAAAAAGTGCACCCGATGGCTCATTCAAAGGCGTTATTAATTTCCTCCAAAATTTAATTTTAATAAACACTAAATGATCAATAGTGAAGGGACATGTTTTGTCACACACGTTTCCGTATAGAAATATTACCTAGAGATATAGGCTTCTATTGACCAAACATCCCTCTTGGCGGAGGACAAGGATCTAGAAATAACAATTCCAATCCCCAGGACCTAAACTCTCATCCTCAATACACAAGAGACACACTTCCTACTCACGTCTTTCCCTGGAGATGTTCTAGTGTGTGTAGCCTGCAATTGGAACAGATCGTTTTTTGGTGGCATTACTCTCTGATTTAGAAAAATAAACAACGCTTCAGAGATTTATTTTACAATTCATCTTCTGATTTGTCATGGCTGGGAAGGTGAGCTTCCAGATTTTCTATTCTAAATTACTTTTGAACACATTTTGCAAACAGACCGAGGAATGGTTCTTGCCTGGACCGGAACAAACTCTGAAAGTTGGGAACTCCAGCTCTCTCTCCCTTTTGTGAAAAGGTAAACAATCAGAAACCCTCACCATTTCCCAAATCAATTATTTGTAAAAGAATAAACAGGTGCTTTGGAGACACTGGAGTTATAAAAAGAAAAAATGGCGAATGATTTTTTCATGGGCCAGCTGTTCAGCTGATGTGATTGTGGGGAAGGTTCTCCTAGGCTCTGAAACTCAATTAGCAAATCAATTAAAATCATCCCCCTGTGTGCCAACAGGACCGTGCTGTCCCCCTCTGCCCCTCCCCATTTCAGTGCTTTCTGGTGCGTCCCCATTGCCAAAGCCAAAGCCCAATCAGGTCCACCTGAGGTTCCTTCGCTTTCCGCTAACACTGGGCAACAGGGAGAGGCGGAGCCAACGCTGCAGTTTAATTATGGATTAGCAACCACCAGAAGGAGCAGGGCTTGAGGTTCTGCCCCACTTATTTATATCGGCCCCAGTCCCAGCTTGCCTTAGAAGCTGTGCTGAGCACAGACTTGGTGAGGTCTGAGTGGCATGGCTGGCTGTCACTTTCTTTCAGTGGGAAACAGATAGGAACAGGCAAAGCAGATGGTTCCTTAAGGGGCACATCCAAAAAATCTGCTGGCAAACCATGGTGGCGTCTTTCAAACAAACAGCAGCTTGCTGGAGAGAAAAATCGGAGCTCCCTCGCCATGTCCTGTCACGACCCATCCAGCTTCAACGCTCACCCAGGTAGGGGTTTTTAATCCTCGGCAAGGCATAATCACTCATTCAGGCAAGAGACAGCCTGCCTTTCTAAGCCCCCCACAGATAGCCATCATCAGCGAAAATGCACCCAGCTCTGTCAGTAAAGTCTGTTATCTAGGTAAGACCACCTTCCAGAGACGGCTGACCTGAGGATCACGCATGGTCGGTCGCGCAGTCACTCGGTCCGAAGACAAACAAATACAAATAGCATGTGTCCGGCCAGCTGGCTGGGCAACTCGAGATGGAGCCAGGGACACCTCAAATGGCAATTAAACACAAGTGACTGTTTTCATCATAAAACATTAATGGAGTTTTTTCTTTCTTTCTTTCTTTCAAATTCCAAATAAGCTCACAGATAATTATCTGTGGAAGTCTGGCTCTGAATGCATGAGTTTGGGCAAAGCACTGAGCCTCTCTGGGCCTCAGCGTCCTTGTCAGTAAAACGGCAGGATTAACTGGAAGATTTCCAAGGTCCCTTTTAGCACGAAAATTCTAGAGTTCTTAGGGTGGGTGGGGGGTGGATCTCCTCCACCATTTTGGTACATCACCTATCTAATTCATCTCCTGGTTTTTCAGCACAGATGAGAAACGCGGACCCTTGATGCCACACAGGTAGCTTACCTTTTCAACTGTGGTGTGCTCTTCGCTTGTGACGCTCGCTTTTCTTGATTCGTTTTTAGACCTGCTTAGCCTTCTGGATACTTTTTCTCGGAGTAACGTGGCATAGCCAATGTGCTCATAAATGGGGTTCGTTGTCATTTTGGAAATGTACTCAGAGGCTTTTGTTTCTATGTACAGCGTTATCAAGCCATCTGTGACCAGGTCGTGAATCGATTCGAACCTCTTCTCGCCCACAAAGTGTTTTCCATCGTAGAAGAGCCTGTAGTTTAAGGTTTGGTTTCCAAACCTGCCACAAGAGAACGAGACATCACAACAGTGTCAGAAATAAGGCCAGTGAATAACAATAGCAGCCAACATTCTTTCGAGCACGGTACCGTACACCAGGCTAAAAGCACTTGACATGGTTCTCCCGGCCTCGCCTCATTTAGTTATCATAGAGACCCTCTGAGACAGGTACAATTATTATCCCTGTTTTACGGCTCAGGAAACTGAGACTTGAAGAGCTGGGGTACCTGTTTGATGCTATACCTCTGAAAAGGGACAGAGACAGGATTGGCATCATTTGACCCCAAAAATCACTAAGGCCACTGATCCTTCTCATTCTCATTTGTAAATGAGAGGGTAGCACCGGATTTACAAACAGATCTTCTTATCAACTTCCTTAACAGGAAGTAGCCATGCCCCTCGCCCCTCTCTGGACTGGGCAATTACCTCTATAAGGGAAGCTATCACCACTGCGGACGTTCCCTTATTACAGCTTTGACCGCCACCAGTAGAGTGCCCCACGCCGCCCCCCGCAGGCGGTCCAGCTGAAGGGAAATCGGGCAGCTATGCCAAGCTACCTGCTTGAGCCACCTGCCAGTCTCCCTGAGATCTAACTTACAGCATCCTGTCCCTGTCATACTTGGCCCTCGTCCTGTACCGCATAGCTCCTGCTTTGTTCCCCTTTGGGACTGGCAGCTCCTGCTTCTGGGGTGCTGGGAAGATAGGCAAATACTGTGCACACCCAGAGCACTCGATAGCTTTTGCGGTGCTTCCTCATGGCGCCATCACGTAAGACGTGTGCCAGCTATCCCCAGCTGCTGCTTGGAAAGGCTCTTTCCATAGACACAATATTGAGATGGTGCATTGAACACACCTTTTTGGGCTGCCCTGGGAAGTGTTTCCAGAGAGGCCATTCTTCAATGGAGAAAGGTCTTCCCAATTCCAAAAAGCTCACAAAATGAATTTTAAGAAGACAATCTGATTCTGAAATTGGATACCTTCCCTAAAAACTTACAGGATTGTTGTGAGGATCAAATGACATGAAATATTTGATCAACGTTAGAAAAGTGCAGCAAACGCAATGCCTTGCGGGTGCTGTGATTTTCAGTACTTGGGGTTTTGTGGTAAAAAACAGAACTTGGCTCTGATGGCTCCCTGGCATAGAAGTTTTTGGGGTCAGTGTGGTCCCTCAGAGAACCTCATGGACAAACTGCATGTCTGTCCAGGCACACACACAACATGAGGTGAAAACTTTTGACAAGGACAACTAGGAGGACAAACTGAGGCAGAGGCCTTTCTCCCTCAGCTGGCTCAATGTTTCAGGCAGAAGCGGGTATAGGAGCACCAACTTTCAAGATAATTCTTCAGTTACTGTGTGTGTACAACCAGAGCCTCAGCGTCATCCTACCGGTAACATCCGCAGCCAGGAATGTGTAAGCCTCTAATACATTGCTGGTACTTTGTAAACAAAGTGAAAACAAAAAATAAGTAGAGATGAAGGGGGAGTGATTTTAATCACAATTCAGTTTCTCTTTGGGATGATGAAAAAGTTCCAGAAATGGATAGTGGAGATGACTGTGATCTATTGAGAATGTACATAGTACCACTACATTGTACATTTAAACATGATTAAAATGGTAAATTTTATGTTATATATATTTTACAGCAATTAAAAAATTGAGAGGAAAAAATAAGTCACTTGTAAGGCAGTTGCAAGAACGAGTGACATCAAGCTCACCTGAGCGCCAGCGTGTAGCATCCTGGCTGACGTTGGCTTTCTCTAAGAATGTAGGCGCCCTCCACACCTCCGAGAAGCGCATCTGCCTGCTCCCGGGAGATGATCCCGTGAAACCTGGGGACAGAGGAGGCCATCATTGCAGACCACATACAAAGCAGGGGCCACGAAGAGCTGGCTAAAATAGATGGCGGCACCATCTTTCCCTAGAATCTTGGAAGCTACAGTCTCCCTGCCACCCCCCAAACACACACACTTGGATGAAAATGGGGAGCGACTGCTGTACATCTTAAAGATGGGCTTGGACTGCCTCTCAGCATGCACCCCAACAGATAAGCATTCAAGAAGCAATACAAAATGAACACACAGTCCACCTGGCTTTCAGCTATTGTCCTTGTTTGCAAGCTGAAAAATTAAGGTCGAAACCAAAAGCCTTTTTGTTAACCATGGGGAATAACAAAAGCGCAATTACCAATCTCACTCTCCACTCAAACACAGAGAACTATGTATTATTATCCTGATTGCAAATGAACACTTATTGATTATCAACCTGCTTACTTCAGGTGTGGGTGTTAATTTTAGAGGCTCAATCTCTGAAAAGAATAGCCAGCTATCGTCAACATTCTTCTATTTCTTTAAATTTTGAGAGCAATCGCTTAGGGATGTGCTTGAAAAATGTTCCTTCCTGGAAGAGGGAGGGGAGAGAGGGATGTTGACTAGACAGCATGCCCCCCCCACCCCCCACCATCCAGGAATGCAAAGTTTAAATTAGAGGGAAAATATAGCTGGATAACATTTTTGAAAAAAAAATGCCTATCACAATATTTATTTCCCAATTCCCTTCTATCCTCAACAGGGAGATTTTACAATCTGAAGCTTGGGTCCTAGGGGAGCAGAGCCAGAAGAGGCTGTGACTTTAAGTTCCAAAATCGACGCTCAGAAGTCTAAGGCAGTGGCAGCTTGGGAGAAAGGGGTTTTCTAGCTTCCCAATTTGGGGTGCTAAATTTCGAGATCTTGGAGCAGTGCTTTTTTGAAGGGAGGATAAATATGCTGTGACATAAGAGCAACACTCCTGCCCAAAAGGTGACCAGTGTCCCCAGTTCTTTCAGGAGAGAGATTTGGAGGGATTTTGGTCGAGTCTGGATTCAGTGGGTCCAAGTGGGCCCTGCAGAGCACCTATGGGATTGGCAATGGTGGGTTAGTTTATGGGGGGTCCTGGAGCTGAGCAGAGATATTTGGGGCTGATTGTCAATGCTGCCATTGGACCCTGTAAGCCTGTGGAGAAGTCTCCTATGTGGCCTGAACTGGGGACAGAGAAGGCTGGACAAAGGAACTGGACAAAGAGACCTAATACCGGCCCCGTGGGAGAGAGAGAGGGAGAGAGAGGGAGAGAGAGGGAGAGGGAGAGAGAGAGAGAGAGAGA